ATCAGGAGTGATTGGATGTAAGTGGGGAGCGTTATGTGTCCCCAGCGTCCCGTGTGTGGGGTCGACCGCGGGTATTCTATAGTTGTAACGTAGTAGACACGTACGCAGCTTTCTTTCTCTCTCTCTCTCTCTCACTCACTCTTTCTCTTTCTCCTGATATCTCTAGTGGTAGAGTCGTAGAGCGATCTATGCCGTATCCACGTAGTTCGCGTAGTTCACTAGCGAAAAGAAGGAAAAGCTGGTGTACTTTGCTTGGCGTCAACGTGTCTCGCGAGTACTGCGTGTATATATCTGACTGTGGGATATGTACAATAGAGAGAAAGAGAGAAAGAGGGAGAGAGAGTGATACCGATTCCATTTGTCACGTACCACCATCATTCTCTCCCTTTCATTTTAATCCCCCTACTTCTACTTTCCTTTGTCAATCGATGTGCTTCGCCTGCCAAATGATATTTCGATATCCCTTATCCAACTTGCGAATTCTTCATTGCCTAGATCAACGTTTTATAGAAATATAAAAAAGTAGAAAGAGAGAAGTAAAGAAATAAACTTTAGGAACGTCATTAATTCATCGTTATTCGTCTCGAAGCATACGTAAGAAATCACCGGATATTGAAAATTGAATCGACCTAAATTCAATAACGCTGTTTCGTTATTAAACGTTAGTCATTTCATCTCAACGTCAATTTTTTTTGTTCTTCCTTCGATTAGGATAACAGGTGAATAATATATATATATATATAAACGAATAAGTCTATGCTACAACAGGTGTGTAAATCCGAATCGAAGAAAAGGTACTTTTTGTCACGCATTCGACGTGGTTAGAAACGGTAAAAAGTCGAAAGGGATCATTGAGAAGGATATAAATATTCAAACAATAAGTTCAAATACAAGCAAGGCTTTCGTAGTCATTTTTTGTCTTACTATATTTCTCTTTTTTCCTCTCTCTCTCTCTCTCTCTTTCTCTATCTCTATCTCTCCCACTCTCTATTCGTGCACAGGTGTGCACTTTCGGCCAGGGACACAGGTGTAAGCGGGAGAAATTATCGATTATGCAATCTCGTGGCCCAGCGTGGGCCAGCAACTCGTACGCCTACGCGAAAAAAGATCTAACGTTCGTATAACATACTAACACAAGTAAATAAAAATATATACATATAATGCATGTGCACACAGGACAAAAACACTATAGTTTTCCAGGGTCTACTTCTCTGTCAGTACAGTTATGTAATAAATATAAAATAATTGTAGCGCAGCTCCATCGAATTCAACCGACATTAATTAGACCATGACAGACTTGAAGATTCACTCGCAATCAAATTTTTTGATAGTCTTCATCTACGAGGATTTAACATAGAAAGAACTCTATGGTCTCTAATTTTTACTTAAGGAGATATAATCGTTAATGATACATGGAAAATACTGATTTTATGAGTGTCATTTGATCGATCAGTCTTTCGTCGGAAGACGTTTCGTCGTAATTAAAATGAGAACCGATATTATCTCGAATTCGAGGTGACAATAGGAATCATTATTAACGGCGTAATTGCTTTTGGATATTTTATCGAAATTTCATTATGTCGTCGAAACTATTTCATTCATTGTCTGGCACCGGCCAAACGTCTGCCTTTCAAAATTCACGTAAAAACAGTTACGTTGATTAAAATTAATAAGCTAGCATACGGACGTTATGATAATGTTGATTCTTTAATGAGTTGCCCAATGACGTATCGTATGAACCGCGAGAGTACAAGAATTTTAATTGATTTCATATATATTTATGGCGGGTACATGTCATTACAGTGATGACCATTCAATGCGCATTAATGCCTCGTTTGTTGTTTAATCATTGAATAATTCGAAATTATATTATTTTGCAGCATCGCGCGTTTAATTAAAATGTTTATTTAAACCGCCGCGAAATTGATTACAGTTCTTTAGTATTAATAAACGATCGCTCGATAGAAATTTGTCAAATAAATAATTTATGCGTCAACATGCGGAGACTCACGGAATGAATATTTACACGAACGATGATGCGTCTTTGTTTCATTTTTTAATTTTTTTGCCCGATGTGAGAAAGTGTTCATTAAGGAAGAAAGAAAAGGAAAAGTAACACTGCATCTAAAATATCTATTAATTTTTTTCGTTATAAATTTAATTATAAATTCATACTTACAACGTATGTTTATAATTTACAATATTTTCAATATTATATAATTTTTATTAAATAGGAAGAAAAATATGAGATTTGTGATATTATCTATTCGAAAGAAAATGTTTTCCTCGTCTCGATCGTTACTTCGTGATCCAGTAATCTGATTCACTATGAAAGAGCGTTTACTTTCGATGCTTAATTCGCGATGACGCAGTAAACATAGACGGGCCAATCAATAATCACTACGTCGGAGTGGCCAAGACTCGCAACACGTCGATCTATTTTTCATCGTTACTTTTTATATATATTTATATATAATATCAAAACTAACTAACGAGTTCACTTTCCTTCAAATATTTTAATTTATTAAATTTCTAACTAATCCAACGGTGGCTCGTCGTGTCTAAGGATAACTTTCGTTTACGAACATTTTTAAATATCTTACAGAATTTATTTATCATCGACGATGTCTTGTTCTTAATGAAAAACTTTAATCGTCGCATAAACATAATACCTAAAATTAACTTGACCACATTCTTATTCGCAAACAAAACAATTAATCCCCCGTAACTCGAAAAACGATAATGCCGAGAATAAAGAATTTAAAATACTCTCATTAATCTGGACCTCTTCGATATTCCGTATGAATGCTGGAAAAAGTAAAAGTCCAGAAAAATATTCCAGATGAATAATATTCATCGATCCTTGAATAATTATCATTCAAAGGATGAATAAATAATTGATCTAAGATATCAATTACGTGGATATAGATAATTAATATTACGAATGGAGAGAAGGGGGACAGGAAATAAAATTGTATTTGCATATGATTAAAGATTAAAAGGGAAAGAAATTTTACATATTTTAGGATTAACACAACGTGCGAATTAAATTAATAAAAAAGTTATATTAGAGAGAATCGAAAACATTAAGAGCACGAGAGGAAAAGAAAGAAATAACAAGGGAGAGAGAGAGAGAGAGAGAGAGAGAGAAAGTAAGAAATAAGGGGAATAAAAGAAAGAGAGCGATGAAAAGAACCGAAGAGAAAAATCAAAGAAAAGAACGATTACGTCGGATTCGCGTTATCGGGCGTAACAGTACGGCTGTAATCTCATCTAGGCACTCAGTTCGTAGCGACGGTTTTTATCCTATTACGTCACATGAATAAACTAAAGACCTACTGGAGTTCTCCGACGTTCGAAGAGGGAGAAGAAGAAGGAGATGAAGAAGAAGGAGAAAGGAACATCGTGATGGTTCCGCACCGGGGCACGTTACTTTCTGTGGAACCTCGTGTGTTTTGAGTCGCTGATCTTTCGAAGTAGAAAGAACGATTCTCTTTCTCTCTCTCTCTCTGTCTCTCTTTCTCTCAATGTGTTTTTTCATCCGTCAAGAAACATCTTTCGTACCGGCAAAATTGCTGAACTTCGATTGATTCTGTTTAAATAGAGAATGCTACTACCACTTATCTTATCTTTTCTTTTATTTTCTTTCATTCCTTTTTCATTTCCTCATGTATGTAGATTCCTTCGAAAAAAAAGGGCTTTCTTCGTTACCACGTTTCAGCTCGTGCACTTCCTTGAATATTTCATTAGAAAAACACTCGACGATAAGTCGTTCTCTACCTTTTTACGTTCCTCCCCCCAATATCCTCGATATCGTGTCGAAGAGAAAAGCCAAATAGATTTATGGAGTCGTTACCAGTCTACGTTGGATGTTGCACGATTAGATTTATTTTACGAGGAAAGATGAATTTTATGCTATCTTAATGGGACATCGTTGTCTTATTCTTATAATGGTAAAGCTTAAAACTATATCATCTATGAATTCCTTTTGTATCCCTGAATAATTTTAAATAAACCACCTCGATATAGATTTAACGATTAAAAACAACACTTTTTAAATTTAGCAATCAAAGACAATGACATTTGTAATTTAGTTATCTCTTTCTATTGGCTACAGACCGTAACGATCGATTTTCTTATCTAACCAGTAAATATCTTTCTTATATATAATTCATATCTATAACTTTTTACCGAACGTTATTGCCGGATGTTATTCAAAAACAGCGAAAAGCGTAATAACAGGGAAGAAAACAACGTGGTTCTCGACGGAAATCGATCGTTACCAGTCGTAAAGAGAAAGAATAGAGGATGGAAGAAGTAGAAAATGCACGGTGAGCGAGCGGTGAATTATGTGACGCGGGAAAGTGCTACTGAGGAGAAGAAAAAGAAAAACTTTTCCATATGTTCCTTACACTTTTTCAAACGTTTCGATAAGAACAAATACCGTATCTTTATATTTCTCGACACGCGATCAAGAAAATGTGGTCATTATCTAAATACAATATTAACATTTCTCAAAAGGGTATATTGAAAATGATATATTTAAAATGATTAAAAATATGCTCTTGTCTAGTTATATCATTGTATTGACTCTATGCACTTATATTGTTCATTTGTGTGTAAGATATATTTTTTATAAGACTTGACAAAATTTACACACTATTTACTGATATCTTTATAAGAATTAAACATTTATTCTGTTTCATATGTCTAATATGCGAAAATAACTATCTACAAATATGTACTTGTTTTCTTTACTAACCAAAAAAATAGATTAGAAAACATGAATAAACAAGGAAATAGCTTGGATAAAAAATCTCTAGAAACGCGAGCAAAAAACACAATATTTACATTATTTATTATTAATATCAAAATATTTCAGACGGAGGCGGCATATTTTGTAAAGATTTCGAAATACACGGTGTCATCGTAGAATCAAAGACAAGACTTTAACGAAGGAAGAGAAAAGAACGGAAAAAAGGGATTGATGAGGGACTCACCGTGGGATTGGGCATACAGCGTCGCGGCGGCGGCGGCATGGGATCCGGCGCGGCACGATATGGTGGTGGTGAATATCTGCCCGAAGGGAAGCAACCGGGGGCGGTAATCGGTGCCCCATGGAGTCCCTTGCTTCCCATCATCTTGTCCGGCGAGTACATCATCCTGCCACTGCCGGTGATCGGTTTTCACCGATTCGCCTTACACCACACGCGCGCGCGCGCACACGTTAGGCCTAAAACCGGCGGCAGCTCGAGACAAAACGATCGCACCAACACCGACGACCGTTCATCAACTGTTTTCCGAAGATTCTTTGCATCTGTGAAAGTCCAAAATCTAAAGTCTACAATCCGAATTCCTTCTATTTTCCTTTCTCTCTCTCTCTCTCTCTCTTTCTCTCTCTCTCTTCTTTTATGTCTCTCTTCTTAGCTTCTTTAGTTTTATTTATCTTTTAGCTTCTTTGTCGTCACGTTGCCAAGTCCCGCATTCTCGATCAACGAATTAATCTATCCAACCAAGCCGACGTCTGACGAGACGTCGACTTAAACTCCTGCATGATGCACACCACGATCGAGCACGATCATTAAGATAGTCCCAAGGATCCTTCGTAACACCTTTCTCCGTTTATTCTTATTAATGGATGTACTCACTCTTTTTCAACGAACGACAACTACCTATCTCTCTCTCTCTCTCTCTCTCTCTCTCTCTCTCTCTCTCTCTCTCTTTCTTTTTCTCCCTCTCCCCTCTCTGCGTATGTCTCAAAAATCGATCGTTCGTATGTCGACGGGTGAATAGAGATAATTCTTCAACGTCGATTATAATCGGCAATGATCTTTTATTTATTTACTTTTTTTTTTATTTTTTTTTATAACTTAGTCATGAAACAATGTTAAACACAGGAGAATAGCGAGTGTTAACTCGAAAGGAAGCCACCGGTAAAGCAATCGTAGAAAACCGTGGCTTGGATCGCGCAGGACCGTACGTGGATCTTGTCCTAGAGCTCCGCACTTTTTGGCGCTGACTGGCCTGCGAAGAGTGCTCTGCGGATGAACTCTTCCAGAGAGGGGGAGAGAATCGGCGAAGGGTGCTTCTCGAAGGGGTGGTTTACTCCGGGTGCCAGTGGTGGTGGGATAGAAAGTACGGGACGGAGCAAGGGGTTGTCAAACCGCAACGACGAACAGAAGGCGGAGCTTCGAAACGTTAGCGCATGCGTTTGATCCCTTTAGCTTGGTCGGCCATCTTTCTTCCTGCCTTCGTGTGGGTGTCGCTAACCGCGACCACCCGCTTCTCTCTTCGCATCCACCTCTTCGATCCAACAGCACCACCTTCCTGACGTCTCTCTTTCTCTCTCTTTCTCTCTCTCTCTTTTCCTCTTTCTTTCTCTTGAAACTCCAACCCCATTCCTGTTGAAACCCTCCACCAAGAGACTACTATGAGGAGCAACCAACCTTACCCCGTTCCGGTGTCTCCTCGTCGACACGAGGATGCGGTCTTCTACCTACTTTTCTTGCCCCACCTTTAGGCTCTTCTATGAGCACGCGAGATCCGGTCGAGCGATCCGACTGTACCTACCGGACTAAATATACACGGACCGAGTGCGTGGCTTACTACTCGCAGCCATATCTACTACTACTACAACTGGATTAGTGGTAACTCCGAGGAATTCTTCCAACGAGTCTGACTTAACTTTCTACCTTTGTACTACTTTGAATTTTCTTGGAACTTGGCGCACTTCGAAAGAAAAAATAATATCGGTCGATTAAAACGATAGAAACGATCGAGAAAAAATGTCCGAAAGTCCGTATCCATCCTTCTTCTTACCAATGGGCTATCAATTATTTATCCAACGGATTCCAATCTCGCACGATCGCCGGCCCTTCGATAGCAATCCGAGCTCCGAGGGTGAGCAATTTAGGCGGGCCGTTAAGCGACTTATTCGTCGGTTTCCACGGACGGCGGTCAAACGTCGTTCGTTATTTTCATCGGAAGGCAACCTTGGGGAATAGCGACGCTTCCAAGTTAGGAATACCGGCTAGAAAGGACGGGAAGGACAGTACCGTTGCTGACGGTGATGGAAGAAAGGATGAGATGGAAGAGATAGACTAACATAAGAGAGAGAGAGAGAGAGAGATGAGTAGGAGGGGGAGAAGAGAGGGCCTCGACAGCAGTCGTTTTCCGAGGGATGTTGGCCGGAAGGTTCCCGCGGGGCCTGTGTTATCGCCTCGGCAGGATGACCAGCCCGCGTTATCAAATATTAAACCTACTTGCACCGGCAGCCTATCCTCGACAAGGTATCCAAAGCCTCCCCCTTTTCGTCCTCCGTTAGCCTCGCACCAACCACCACTGGCTACCGCCAAAACCTACACCCACTTTCACCCACCCAACCATCAGGAGAGAGAGAAAGAGAGAAAGAGGAAGAGAGAGAATTCTACACTCTCGTCTATCCGGTCTATCCGTGCTTATGTTCTTGCCATTGTGTTGTTGCTGTTGTCGTTGTTTGCCCGCAACAACGAGAGAAATCCACACTAGGCCCGCGAAATTGCTTGCCCGCAACCGTTTCCACTGGCCTCGAGGTAAACCGGTAAAAATTGATTTTCGAGCCCGCCAAGGAGAGATACACAACGCGACGAAAGTTCGAGGCCAAGTCGTAGAGGTTCTCCACCTTGGTCCTAAGGTTTCTCTTCTGATGGAACGATAAAAGTCCGGAAGAAACTTAACTCGAACTTTTTCTTACAAGTTTGATAGTCGACAAGACAGATGTTTTTCTTTATGTTTTATTTTTCTTTCTTTTTTTTATTGCTTATTCTTTGAGCTTTATTTCTTTTTTATTTTTCTCATTCGTATTTTTATATTCTATTGAATATCGTTTACTCCTAATAAAGAACTGGATATATATATATAAATAAATTTACATGAAATATTTCAACTCATCGACCTAAAAAAACGTTAGCCTCGAGAATCATCAAAGTACAATTTTTTCGTTCGTACCACACGATATCTTCGATGTCGAACAACAAATAAATTATGAAGGAACTTGGAAATGTACTCCCTTTCTAATTACAACCCGATACTCCGTGATTCGAGGTAGCAACAACTCCGTGGTAAAAATAGCGGTGGATGTCCATCACGTTTGAACGTAGAACGATAAAAAAAATCGAATATATTTGATAGCTAGGTACGTATAACATGGTGAACTATGGAAAGTGTACCGTGAATAGTTGAAAAAGTATCGTGAGCGTTGAAAACCGCGACATGCATCGAAAGACTGAAATTCAAGTAAAAAAAAAACAATTTTAGATAGATGTCGATTGTGAAGTTATCGAAAACTTCGACCTCTAAAAAAGTTTATCATGAAATTTTGAAGTGAAAAAACTATTTACTAAATAATATTTTTAATTTAAATATCCATTGTTCTCTGGATTTTTATTTAATATTATTCCTCCTTTGTTAACAATGTTTTATTTGTTTAAAATTATCCTTTTCCCTTAAGTATTTCTTTCTTTTATCTTATTCTTCTTTTCTATGCAAGCTCGGACTACTTCTTTATCCTCTGACCTCGCTTTTCGATGACAAAGCAAATTGTGTCCTGCGAATGGATTTGACGTTGTATAGCGTGGATTCGCAAACGCCAACTTCCATGAGGCTTTTGAATTAGCAAGAAAGAGAGAGAGAATAATAATAACATAGGTTCGAAATAAACCGGCGTGGTAGTTCGAAGCGAGCTAAATGAAAGTTACCCGGGAATTACGCAACTGTAATACCGCATATTTCCAATCAAGCTAATGAGTATAATCGGCAGCCGTTTCGCTGTGGGGTCTGTGGGTAGATTCGCCCTGGAAATTCGAGGGATTCGCGTCCTGTCGTGTCGTGTCGTGGGTAAAGGGTAAAGGTGAAAGGGCGCTCCGGGTCGTGTATTCGCTGTATTCAAACTGGAGAAAACTTTTTTTCCCCAAATCATTGTGTACTTTTTCATCGATGAGTATCAACCAACTAATTACTAAATTATTATTGTGACGGAATCATATGGTTTCCTTTTTTAAAAAATATATTTTTATTTAGTATTTATAATAAAAAAAAAATTAATTATAGCAGTTACGAGATAATTCGCGAAATATTTCTTTTTCTAATTTCTTCATATGTATATTTAAATCGGAATATATTTCGCTTCACCCTCTCTCTCTTTCTCTTTCTCTCTTTCAAAGATAAACTTCAACGAATAAACACACGATAGAATCGTATTAGCTCTCTCGTGATTATACGAATTAGAATCATGATTATAGAAATAATGGAAGCGATCAATGATCACACTCAGACCGTGCGCGTAATAAATCAAATGTACAATAAATTTCATTATAACTTGAGTAGATACATTGATACCAGATTTGCAATAAACGAACACATTGTCAACTTACAACTAGTATACCTCGACATCGACGTCAGCAATGATTTCTTAAAATTTCGTTAACACTTATAACGAAAACGTAGATAGATTTACAATGATTAATAGAATAAAAAACATATCATCTAGGATCAATAACACATAGGACGTTTCATTTAAATCTGAAATATCACTGTTACTTTCGATGATGCGGAAGTAAAAATCAACGTAAAACGTAGTTCCATCAAAAAAAAAAAAAGAAATTTGATAATTAACATAAAATAATTTTCAATATCATTCAAATCGAACAATTATTTTCTTTAATATTATTTCTTATCGTGAAAAATAACGAAAATATTTTAAGTATTCGAGTTAGGTGATACATCCTGTATGTATATATGTATATTGTATTAGCTTTCCGTACATTACATTCTACCTCGTTGCATTGTTAGTAACGTATAACGTGATCGCATTGCATGGATCAAATCAGAATTTTGTTTGTCCATTTCCCAACTATTTGCGAATTTCATGTCTTGATCGGCTTAAATGCGCGTATTTCATCTGCTATTCCTTTATATAAAGGGTTTATCTTGCGTATCTCTCGCTGGACGATAATCAGATTTATCGGCCCGGGAAGTATTTTCAAATCCCTTTACTTTTTTACTCGACGCCGCGGCCCACGGATAAACAGCTTTCGAAGGACGAATTATTTACCGTTCGAGGCGAGCACGTTACGCTCCGTTTCAAAGAAGATTCGAATCCATCTCGTTCGCATTTCGTATATATTGTATATATATATATACATATATGTTCGTTTCTTCTTGGTCAATCTTTTCCTAGCTATATGTTTTCTATTCTATATTCAATAAATATACACATATCATATGCTTTTTAGTGAATCGTTGAATCGTTATAAACGTCGATGCATTCGTTCAACACTTCTTGGCAGCAAGATCTTGCTTTACATTGAACCTACTAACTCTAAGATCTGCTCTTAAGAAGACATGAAAAAATTTAATATGTTGAATTTTTTGTAACATATATTTTATTCTACATAGCATCGAAATATCCGTACCTTTGTAACGAGACAATCTTAACATTTAAATTTTCTTATTCTATGTATCACATATGATATACATTACAATATTACTTTAATTTTATATTTTTATTTAGTGTTCTATGGAAATTTAAACTTTTTTTTTTAGTAAAACACATGATTCATAATACTATAATGCATTTACGTTCGCAATAAATATTTTCAATAGACAGAAAAAAAGACGTAAGATAATTGAAAAATTAATGACAAATGAATAGAAGTCAGTTAAGAATAAATTCTACCGAGACACGTAGAACCTGATAAGAAATGCTTTTAATAGAACATCAACCATCAGGCCAATCCAAAGAAAACTCGACTCGCACTTTTAGCTCGGATCTCATCTAAAGTATTTCACGTAAGTTTTAGCATCGGATGAGGACAATCACATCTTGTCTGACGAGTCAATGTTCTTTCCACTTAAAGCACCAACGCTAGAAACGGCGATCGAAGTCGTCTGGTTTTACATCAGAGTAGAGAACGATCTCATATATGTATTTCATGTAAAATATGCCCCAAGCATTGACGGCTAAGTTACCTCGCGCGAACACCCTCTTTTACCACCCTCAACTCCCACCACCTAGTCACTCTCTACAACGTTACA